TTAGATTTTACTTAGGTTACTCAAAATGATAAAACTAGGTGACATACAAAATAGATAGGACATCACATAAAAACAATTAAGGGTTCAAAGTTAGCCTCCACACATAAACAACAAATGCACGCGAGCAGAATAGGCAATATATAGTTTTAGAATTAAGATGCATTAGAGTTGTTAAATCCTATAGACATGGTTTCTATGCGATTCTACTTTCTAGTATAGTATAAGCAGTGCTGCAGCGTTAGACAGATGAACTCCCGATTGAAAAAGTTAAAACCCCTATAGGCATGATCTCTAAATTGTTCACGCAATGAGGCAATAAGACTGTTCGAAGGCTTAGAGTTAACAACGTTTGATTTATAGACATGTTTTCTAGATGGGTGATAATATCCTATAGTTAGGATTGACAATTGAACTTGATTTTATAAAATTTTATCCCTATAGGCATGTCATCTAGGCGGGGTAGTGTAACGAAAATAACAGAAGTAGTTTATTAAAATCCTATAGTCATGATATTTAGATGACCATTTAGTGAAGACATGTATTATCATATCCTATAGGCATGTTGTCTCATAATTAATCAAGGCGTTTGATTCCTATAGGCATGTTATTTAAGAGCGCACAGTAGTAGACGGAAAATCAAGTATAGTGATTTCTAACATGCTTGAGATAATATACGAGTTTTAGACAAGTTAGGTGAAGTGTGCGGGATTCCTATAGACATGATTTTTATTAGTGTGCAGAAATAAAGCAAGTTAAACAAAGTAGCAAATAAAGCACGTAGACCCTATAGGCATGTTTTCTGCCCTTTTATACCAGAATAGAGCACGCCCCTTCCCCCAATTTCACTAAATCCCCATTGTTTGTTTACAAAATTATTACAGGCCGAGAATGAAATAATACATACTTAAAGAGGACCAAATACAGGCTGAAACAAATACATGCCTCTAAAGCAATTGTAGGCCCAATATCAAAGTAAACCCAGGGTATTCCCAGGCCTTCAATAGAATTAGTCCCCAGACAAACAACAGGACCAAACTACAGGCTCACCAGGACAATACAATACTCCTAAATCTAATGCACATGTGCAACAACACATATGGTCAAACACCAGGCCCAACGAATAACTTACTTACCCAAATGGATGCCAAACTTAGCCATACATATGTCAAAAGTCCTCAAAATATCGTTTTTGCATGTATATATACCAAGTAGGGTTAGGACCAAACAATTATACCTCCTCCTATGCAAAAAAAGACACTTTTCCCGAACAGACGTGCGCTGCCGCGGATCAACCGTGAATGGGCCACGCATATTGACCAGTGTTCTGCCCTATTTGCGCGGTCAGTGCGCGGCCGCGCACTTGACATGCACTTTTCACCCTGTTCTGTTTGAAATGTAGAAAACGTAAAACATAAATATTGTAGCTCTTTGAGTTAGCTTTCCAACCATGTATTGTAGAGCCCAAATGGAGTTCTGAGAGAAAAATTATGTGCATTCTACTAGATAGTGTACAGTATACCTACTCGATTCGTCGTTCGTTCTTAACTATTATCCGTTGATCTCCGAACACGATCCCAGCTTAATTCCTTGGGCTTTTACTCAGACTTCAAAGCTCTAAATCACTTGAATTCATTCCATAATATCTACATAGCTCGGAATCACTCATACAAGGCATAAAACACACAATTAGTGCAAAACACTAGCAATTAAAACTCAAACTCAATTAAAGTGCAGTAAATTAGAGTGTAATAAGCGACTAAAATACGTAATTATAACCTATCATCAATTACACATATGCCCTCCTCTGCGTGGCGTGCTACTAATGCATCTTCAAGGACTAGAAACCTCTTTGACAACATATATACTACTGAATGAAATTGAGACTTGGATGCTAATATATAGTGTATTTGATCTTTCTTTATTGAGTCCTCCATGTTGTATTCTTGGCTTAAGATAGACGTTACATAACTCTCTACAAACCACCAAATGGTATTGTAATTGCGCCACATGTCACTCAAGAATTTTTTTGCAATCAAATTGTCACTGAATTCATTATATGAAGATCAACACCAAGAATGAAATAAAGAATTGTTAAATTACTGGATCTTTGTACTAGAATTCAATGTGGATTTTCAAGGAGTATGTGTGTATCATAATTATGGCACTTTTGTTGCTTCATGTCCCTTTTTTCTCAATTACAATTTATTGAAAAATCCCTATCTGCTAAAGCTATTTTCTTAATCAAAATATTGAAGTTTATTATAGTAAAGATTAGAAATTCAAGTTAAACCTCTCATACGAGCCTTATCTAATTCTTAATCCATGGGATAGTCGATTTAATTATACATAAGTATAGCATATGTAGAAGTCGATGCACTAGCTGTTTTTCTCTTAATTAGAGGCAAGCTTGTAATAATTACTTTTTGGCATGTCTAATTATCTTTCTAATTCCAGAAATCATTCAAGAAATTAGTTTTCATGTATGAATATTATTCAAACCATGTAACTATTATGATCAGTGAATCAGTTTATTAGCTTAATTTGTGAGTGCCCTCTTTATTTTATCTTCTCCTTTTCCCCGTCCTTTTTCAAGTAATTGAAATGGGCCATTGTACTGGTTGAAACTGAGAATAGGAAAATACTGATTCACAACTATAGGTGTCAATGAAAAGTATCCAACTCTCCTTTAAGATTGTGCTCAAAATCAAATGGATGAGAAGCAATAGGGTACGCAACAATTTTTGTAAGCAATATCAACATTTGAAAATATGAGCAAATAAATATATTATTATAACGACAAATAGTGTCATTTTCTTTATTTATATTCAATATTTTTATTTTTCTTATTATCTGTACATACATATTTACAAAAAAAATTGACGAATCGATGTCACGTAACACCACCTAAGATAAAGTGCATGCGCCCCTAGATGAGAGTCGTACATCTTTACTTAGATGTTTGAGCTCGAATTTTGAAAACGATAAAAAAAGTAATAAGGAACACTTTCCTTTTTAATGAATTTTAATGACACATATTTAAATTAGTCGAAACTTTAATACTAATACCGAACAGGGCCAGAAAAAAAAAATACCCAACTTCATCACAAACACGCAAGAACTGCCTTAAAAAATGTGGTTGCCTACCCAACTTAATGGCTGCCACATACATGTATGTACTATATAAGTTTCCTAATTTATGAAGGAATCTCAGCATTTGAAAAACAATAACAAAAGGAGGTTACCTTACTTTCAAGCAATGTCTTTCTTTAGAAATCTATTTACGTACTAGTTTTAGGTCTTGCGTCATCGTCAAAAATGTATCAACTTGATTTGCATGGCTCTTGGCAATAATTTATCATTCTGTTAATCATTAGAAGAGTTAATTTATCTTTGATATCACAAATATAATTAATTTTTTGAATTATTTGTATTTTAGTTCCTTCAATTTCCAACAACAAAAACAAAGTTGATGCAAGAAGATATTATTGTCAAATGAAATTTATATAAAATTACCTTTAGTCGCTCTCTTGACTGCACTAAAATTTGAAGTTTCACATTTCTTAATTGAAAAGACTAAGGGCCCGTTTGGCCATTGAAAAATATTCTTTTGTTTTTGTTTTTAATTTTTAATTTTTTAGAAATCAATGTTAAATCATGAAATTTTCGATTTTCACTTAAAGATAAATTTTAGAATTCTTTAAAAATTTTAAAAATTCTAGAAAGCTATTATTCAAAATTTTCACTTTAGATCACTAACAAAAATTCAAAAACAGCCCAAAATTATATTCATCTCCAAACACAACTCTAATTTTTAAATACCATCTTATGTCCAAACGCCCGCTAAAATAGAATGAACAGGAAGCTAATGTTCACATAACCTTCTAAAAAGGGGAGAAAAAGAAATTGATAATTATAAGTTGCCAAACTTCTAATAACCAAGTTATTCATAAAGAAATAATTTCCTGAAGCCAAACTAATTGGTGATTATGATTAAAATTCTAACAGAGATAAAATATGATTAGACAATTTCTTTAATCATGTTTAATTATTAGTGGTAGAGTTACCTAGTATTTATATTAATGAAAAATAATAAATACACGGTGAAATAATTGAAATATGCACGGATCCAGACATCATTAGTATATAAAATTAAAATATCATATGATTGCCCAACTTTATTTGGCAGGATTATCAATAATGTAACCCCATTTCAAACTATCATTTGTACACTATAGTAGTAATAATAAAGAATTTACTAGAATTAGGTCATGGATTAAAAAGTGGAAAGAAATAAGAAAGAGATTGTGACAAAAGCAGACAGATGAGAATCTTGAATATGGCTACCATCTAAAAATTTAACAATCCAAATATATAACATAAATATTTTAATGAACAAAATCACAAATATTATCCCTCTTCTTCTTCCTCTCTTCCCATGTCTGAACTATCTTAGTACTTCTCTGACTTGTACAAGTAACTCTATTCCTTATTTCTGTCTTCAGAAATCCCTCCCCC